TCCTTATCGAAAGCCATTTTAGTGATGTCTTAGTACCAAAAAAATAGTTTTTGTTTCAGCTTGAAAATGTCGTTCCCACAGACGGCACCAACTGTTGATGGCGAATCTTGGAGAGGTCCACATGTCCCTCGAACGAGTAGCTTCACCTAAGAACAAATGAGCTTGCAACTAGAAAACTAGAAACCGGTGCGGTGTCCGACCTAATACGCTCTGATGCTCAAGTTAATAACATGAGTAGATAATAGGAAAAAGACATCTTAAGTATTAATGACAGGTTTTCACTTACTTGGTAAGGGTGATGGTCCTTCCTTATATAGGCCTGAGCAGCCGACTTGGAAGGACGACGGTAGGGATGGTAGGGACAAGCTGCGAGGTACGACGTTTGCTGAGGGTGTATGTCCCCGACAACAAGAGGTGGCGCCACCGCCTGCAGGCCTGGAGCCTGTGGCCTGCCGCTAGAGCTCGATGTGCTATCCGTACTTGGGAGATGGAAACACGTATCCCCTGTCATTGTAACGTACGGTGTGTAACCGTCTGCGGTCCCCACCTCATGGAAGTGGACACGCGTCCTGCTTGATTTTACCCTCAACAATATTTGGTGAAAATTTGTACAAATAATAACAGTAAATATACAAAAAAGCCAATATGAATATAAAACTAACAACATATTATTTTTATAGAGATGAAAAATGTAAGTGCAAATATCATCGAGGCATTATGCATATATACACATTGGTAAAAAATTGTTACAGTAATCAAAAATCAATATCCAAGAAGCAAATGAAAATATTAAAACTAAACTAAGCCTTATTTGATAGAGATGGAAATTCAAGTGCAAATATCATTAAAGGTAGAATAAGGGTAAAGTTGAAATATCAGCAGGTACATTACACGTAGGGCCCGTTTGGGCATAACTCTCACGGTTAGGTCTCATACCAGTGGAGCTAGTTGTCCTCATCTATATGCCGTAGATCATTCTCTTGTCTAGTCAATCTGAGACTTTGTTTGCATTTCTCTTACAATCCCAATGTAACGTTATGGTTTCTCGTTTCCAAATTTCTTAAGAAATTTAAGCATTTTGTAACTACCTATGTTTTTGTTTCTCTTTTCTTGTTTTTCTTCTTCTTTTTTTTTTTTGAACATTCTAAAAATTGTATAGAAATTTTAAAAACAACCAAAACAAGTTTCTTCTTTCTTGTTATCATTTCCAAGTTGTTCCATAACATAAATAAAAAGATTGTTTTATCATACTTGAATCCATGAATCTTGGGACCATGCAATTCATTTTTCTGTATAAAAATTAAGAAGTAGAAACCAAAAAACATGAACGTGACAAAATGGGGCTGTAGAACTAGTACATAATAAAAGCTAAATGAATTAAATAAATACTAGACAACTTTAGGGTTTATAATTATATCTTATGAAGTACTAAAAACTCTACACAAAACCTTGTCCTATAGACAGGATTTGTTGTAGTAGATTTAACACTTACATGGACCAGCCTTATTTTGACAACATATTCTTGATGCAAAGCAGAAAACTGAGAGACACTAAAACTTAAAAGCTTACATTATCAACCATCCATGATTTTCACATCCATCATCAACCATCCACTTTCTTCCCATTGTGTAGCCACAATTGGATGGCATCACCATGGCTTTATCTCGATTGTTCAGCAGCAATTTGACGTTGGAAGTCACAACTTTCGAGGTAACATTGGTTATTTTGACTTTGTTATTTTTACCGTCTATAATCTCAACAGGTGTTTGAAACTGTCCATCATTAGTCTTTGCATACTGAATATTTTTGGAGAGAGCAGACCATTGAGTTTCCAAACTCAACATTGATGCACTTGGCTTAGCCGAACCATCAGCAGCAATACCAGCAATTTCTGCCATAATAGACTGAAATCTTGCAGCCTCGGCGAATGTCTGGATAATTACGATAAACGCCTTCGCCACAGCTCTATAATTGTTATAAGATATCATGTTTGTAATGGCAGCGTCAAGGGCAGGAAATCCAAGAGGAATCTCCTCTTTTGATGCATGTGCAGCGCCTTCAAGATCCTTGTAGTTGCTGGAATAATCGAGGTCTACATGGCGGGGACTGTCTTTGAATAGTACTTTAAAAGCGGTGCGGAGATTCGTCTCGTTGTTTAGTAGGATACGTCGCCGCTACGATATGCCACGACGTACACGTTCAATACGTCTACAGCCACCGTGATGGTTTCGCTGTCGTAGTTGGCGAGATTGATGAGTAGGAAGCGGTCTTTGTCAGCTATGGTGGGGAGCAACACTGGTATGCTGTACACTTGTTCATTGGATGGAAGAGCTGGCCTCAGTTGCTTTTCGATGAAGTTTTTGTAGGATTTTGAAGAAACGCCTAGCAAATTGAAGTTGAGAGGATCACGGCCCTTGATAGAAGGAACATCAAGGACGAAGATGGCAAGAATTATGGAAAGAAATGCTGAGAATTTGTTCATCTTTCTCAACTTCTTTTTGATTGGTTTGCATATCTCATCTTAGCATCTCAACGTATGGCTTTTATAGCAGAGGGCCAAGTTATAAAACTAGAGGGAAGAATGAAAATTCATTATTCTATCTGTTGGGAATTCATATAAATGAATTAACCCATTATTTTAATCAAGCATCAATTGAAATGTTCACGGGAGGCTCTTTCGGACATTCGAACTCATGACTTCTTAATCAATTATTATTAAGTCAAGTTCATGTTAACTGTATGGTGACTTTCTTATTTGTTTTTTTTTTGTTTGAATACACAATAAGTGGGGGTGAGAGATCCAACTCACAAATTTTTGGTTGGAGATATATGTTAATTACGGCTAATTTATGTTTGCTTTGACGACTTTCTTATTTGAACTTAATTTCACATATTATTTGTTTCCTTTTTAGGATAACATTTGTATGGTTTTTAACACTAAATAGTTGTATATTAAAAAAGAAAAAGATAAAAACACCATGATCAATTTTATCTTAATTTTACAAATTATTTGTTTTCTTTTTAGGATAATATTTGTATGGCTTTTAACACTCTACATATACCTTTCTTTTTTTACAGATAAAACCACCATATACAACCAAGTTAAATTTCAGAAATTATTAATTTTTCTTTATTTAGGATAATATTTGTATGGTTTTTAAAACTACATGTACCTTTGTATTTTTTTAAAAAATCATAAAAACACCATATACAACCAATTTCGTAGAAATTTTCATTAGAGAAATATGATTCACGTATTGAAGTTCCTCTTTTTTTTTTCTTTATGGAACAACTACATATTGTTAATTTTTAAAAAATATTATTTTAATTAACTTAATTCTTAAAGAAAGATGTTTATACCGAATTCCAAACTATGATCATGAGAATGTGTGTGTGGTGGGTACGGATGAGATATTTGAAGCAACCTACGTGAGAAGAGACATGTGCAAAGAAAAGAAATACTTCGACGCTCAAGTCGGTAAAGATCTTATCAATGCTTTCCAAAGTGAGGAATTAGACAAGCATACTTGTGTATGAAAAATTTTCTCCTATTTATAGATGAAATATAATGGCTCTGCATCTCCATTATGTTAGACCGTTCCAAGAATTTGTTAGTGTTGCATTCCCAAAACCTTGGTGAATGTAAGTGCAAGTGTACACTCTATTCGTCAATTGTAGTACAAACAAGGTCGAAATCCATAGGGACTATGAATAAAACTCTAAGTATGTGCTCAAGAATACCTGAAATGCAAACTAAAATATAACTAGTGGAATTGTAATTAAAACTAGCATAAATGGATAAAAGCACCATAAATGAGCTCTAAGAAAAAGAATATTGTGGATAAGAGATGTTGTGGCAAAAAAGTGTTTTAGCAAGAGAACAAAAAAAATGTGGGGGCAACCGATAATGAGATTAAGATGGGGGAGATCACTATATGTTTTCACTCGCTCACATATTGCAATGCTTTAGCACAAAAACGCATAAAGCCTGACACAGTTCTCTTCTGAGACACCTAGAAATGACTCTGTATAACTTTCGTTGCTAAACAATCAAGCTTGACCAGCAATTTCTAAGCATGTTTAGGAGGACCTTATCCCTAAGTATCTATGGACCTACTAGAAAAGAGGAATTACCACAAATAGAGCCAATCACACATCATATACACCTTTTTCGAGTCTTACAAGTGCAAGCAAACTGATAAATGTAGCCAACAAAAATCAGTAAGATGAAAATATAAATACAACTCTATTTATCAGCAATCAAAACAAGCTAGAAAATCTTTGTTCACAAGTTATAGCATGGGATTTCCCCTGGAAATGGTAATTAGTTCATGGGAGAGGGGAAGAATACAATGGGTAAAGAAAAGAAACAACTCATTTCATGAAAGAATCCTTTTGAACCCGTTGCAACTGCCAACTCAATGAAGAACCCAATGGCTCTAATTTCTATTGTTGTCTCTTTCTCGAAAATGGGGTATACTCCCTTTGTCTTCAGCACCAAAATTGGAATATTTTCCTCTCTTGGGATCTGTCCCCCTTAAGGATTGATAAGAGATAGCTCTCATCTTATTGCTTTTATAGCTCCCCCGAAAATTAGGACAAAGCTTTATAAAATGTGCGTGGTACAGACATTTGTAAAAATTATGCGTAAAACGAGTTACTATGCTGCCCAAATTTGCAGCCACAGACTAATGCTTTAGCATGACGTGCTCTGACATACCAAATCTCCAACAATTCCTTCTAATTCGGCTATACTTTTAGCAACATCTCTAGATTTTGCACAATTATACCAAAAATAGGGAAAATAAGCAGGAACTTGCGTAAATTCAGCAACATGAGAATTTAAAACATGATAATCAGCTTGTTCACTCAATTCCTCACTTAAGTATGCGATTTAGACAAAGGCTCTCATATTAAAGCACGAATGAACCAAATTTATTTGTTACCTAGTTTGAAACAGTTATGTAGGAGATCTTAGTGTATAGCCTTTTCAAGGCTATTAGTGGGTTTTGACCAAGTTCTTTGGTGTTACTTTATGGTCTAACTAAATAGGTTGGCGCCACTGAGTGTTTATGAGATAATAGAAAAAGGTCACGTGTGGGATGATCTTTCCTTGTTTTCTAACGTGGTAGGTCGTATTTTACCCTCCAACATTGGCCCCTTCTTTTGGAAGTTGCAGTTCTGAGTGATCAATCAACTTTTCTCCTCTCTTTTTCTTCTTTTTAGCTCACACTTCATAATTATGCTAATTTATTTTTCTTATCTGCCGTTCTTCCTAAGCTCGTTATTCCGCTAAGCGAGCTGACAGGGGATTATATCAACTATATAGGAAAGATTTGACAAGAAAGGGCATCTCGTGAAAGTTCTACTCACTGATACAAACTTGGTCGACTGTGGGCTTCTCGACCCGATAGACAAATTCGTAGAATCCTCTGCTTCCCTCCTAGAAAGAAAAGTCTTTTAATATCTCATATTTTTATCTTTTGAATAGGTTGAGCTAACCCTCTATTACATAATCGTTTAGGTGATGCTAAAGAACTTCCTCTCTTTACTAAAGAGGAAGCTTGGTGAGGGCCTCAAGCTCGACTCCGCCTTTCAAGGTTAAAGGAGGCATAATCTCTCGACAACTTCATCTTCTCATCCTTGTCCTGAGGGCTAAGATACATTATCTCCCCTAGAGGTAAACGAGACTTGAGTCTTCAATGTTGCTCCTCTTCAAATGCTGGTGGCTGAGACCTCTTTTAAGTAGAAGAAGAAGAAACAAACAAAAAAACTGGCTTCAGATGAGAAGAAGGTCAGTGCTCCAGTGATCTACCTCTTATCGAAATTGTAGAACAAATTTGAGATCGAGTACGCATTGATGATTTAAAATATTGCTTTTCGTATCAAACCTAGAAGATGACAGGTTCACTACAGATGTCTCAATGTTGGTACAGGCGACCTCTGATATGTCGCTCGCACATGAGAAGAGGGTTTCTAACCCTCTGACACCACTTTGCAACGCACCATCGACAATGTCGCCATTGTCTAAACTTAACATTTGTCATTCATTTTATGTTATTTGAAAGTACACCTCACCCCAGCTTTTATTTTCAAGCTCACATTGTGTTCTGTTAGATTGCGGCTCAAGACAGCGCCGAGCTTTTAGGGTGCCACTTGTGGTGTCAGTTGGAATAGGAAGCTTCTCATCAGCAATCTAAGACATTAAAACTGCATGGATTGAGCTCAAAGAAGTCTAGTCCTAACTCTTGGCATCGCAAAACAAGGTGGATGATTTGTGGAAAGATCTAGTAGAGTCCTTTGTGACGTAAAGAGCTGTAAGGAGACGATGATGAAGCCAAGTAGGAAGATAAAGGAACTCAAGGAAGTCGAAGAAAGATTGCCTCAACTGGAGAAAGAAATTAAAGAGCTGAGAAATGAGCGTAAGGAGCTAAAGGAGAAACCTAAGATGACGAGTTTCTTGAGAAGACCTTTTAGTTTGTCTATAAATTCATCGACTTCTCTAAGAAGATGGTGGATGCAAGTTTCAAGTTTGCTCTTGAGAGCTTTTCCTCAACCTAGACCGTACCTGATTGAGCTTACACGTCCATGTATCCATATAGTAACACTTCAGCTCGAAATAATCCAGGTCTGGGTAGAGCGTTTTCATTTTGGAGAGAGCAAAATTGAATGTTCAACTAGCGTAGTCCTTCGGAAAGTCCATGAAAGTTGGATGGGCCTTGAAGGTCTCCAACAAGAACTTCTCGTTGCTGAGTAGGGCCCTCAGCTTGTCAAGCTCCTTCTGCACGTACTTTTTTTCCTTCAGGCTCTCATCCATCCTCCTTTTCTACTTAGCCTTATCTTCTTCAAGAACTTTGACAGTGGAACTAGCGTGTCTCATAGACTTCTCCCCATATTTCACCATGGTCAATGATTTGGCTAGGCCAAGCCCAAGATCTTCGACCCTCACCTTAGCAGCTTCAAGTTTGGTCTTAACCTCTTTAAGCTTCGTCTAAACAGTGGCTACATCAGTCGAAGAAATCTCACGCTCCCGCTTGGCCCAAAGATCGCACTCATAAAGCTTGGCCTTCATTAAATTAGCGGCTTGGCAAGAAATGACATAAGCCTATGAGAATAATCAAAGTTAAAAACTACCTATTTGATTATTCCAGAAAATTGAAATATCATAGATTGTACCTCAACTGTATAATCGATTGCACGTTGGACTACTAAGCTTGCCAGAGAAATGAACTTGGTCAACCGACAGAGCGACTTGTGGAAGCTTGCTCACTTGATGTGCTCTAATTCCTCTTTAACCCCATGCTACTAAGCTTTATGCAAAAAGCCATTTGGAGATCAGATGTGTACCCGATCTTCATAGCCAGGTTTTTTGTCAAGTCAATGGGTTGACTTTCTTCAGCGAGTTTCGAGTTTTCAACATTTTTTTTTTTTGGCCTTTTTCTTCTTTGCCTTCTCCAATGAAGTATCCTCCCAAATGGTCTT